CTGTTTGGCTGCCGTGGCTTGGTCATGGTGATGCTGGACCAATCATCTGCAGTTAGCAGAGCTTCTCCTTTATTGGTTTGCTAAACATTTTGTTTACCTGGTTTAATTCGACCTAATTCATTTGTGGTCACAGACGTGAGTCGGGCCCCCGTGTTAACACGTCTAACTTCAAACCTCTCAGTAACATGTTGACAGCCTGGTATAAAGATAGTTTTGTCCTTTATGGACAGTTCCTGTCTTCATAACTGGTTAACAGCGTTCCTCATTAGTCTGCACAGTCAGATGAGTCGGTGGAGCTCTCTTATCAAAATGTAAGACAAACATGAGAATATCAAAAACATGAGAACTGTAAAGACAAAGTTTTACCTCAGTTTGAGTGCTGTTGCTCGGATGAACACGGAGATGAATTCTGGCCTTCCAGACCTGTTTCGTGTGCAGGTCATGGGCGTAGACCAGCACAGCCTTCTCCTTTCCCCGCAGGTTTAGGTGGTGCAGGGCGTAGACCCCACCGTCCTCGTTCACACTGAAGTCATGTTTATCTTCCACCTGGAACCAGACTGTCCCCCCGCCGCAATCCAGGAAGCTCACTGTTGAGGAGAGACACAGACGTCAGCGATGTGTGCAGGCCGAGACCAACATTTGTTTTTACGCTTTAGTCTGAAGCAGCTCGTCCTGTCGTCACAGACGCTTTTATCGCCACAACTTTCCTCAGTTTTTGCAGAAATTCAGGATTTTCACTGTGACGTTTTCTCTGCAGACGAACAGCATGAATAACTCGTTCATGTGCTGACACAGCGACACACTTTTCATTGTTGGTTAATAACTGCTGTGTGTGTGAAACATGATATTTTATTAATCAATCTTTTTTATCTTTATGACATTTGTGCATTTTGTGGCACATTCACACCACAGCTGCTTAATTATGGCAGCACATGTTTGATACTGTGATCTGTGGGAGAGAAGAAGCTTCAGACTGGGGAGGGTCTGTGATCGTGAAGCTTGTGGGCCCCTGCTGGCCCCTGGTGGCCCCCAGCTTTAGATGTCTGTGGGTGCAGAAAGGAGCACCACGAGGCGTGTGCAGCAGTGGACTGGCACCCTCTGGAGACCTGAATGGTTTCCACAGCAGGGCGATGCAGAGCTGCAGCCAACAGACAACATCAGTTAGCCTGAAGTGGCCACAATCTCACCTCCAAATAGCTTTTAAACTTTTGCTCCTTCTTGATAAATCTTGTTGACTCTTCTCCATCAGCTGGGCTCAAGTTAAACTAAACTGTGACTTCAGGCTTTTAGAGAAGAGTCAGCGTGCGACACTGTAAACGAGACGGCTCGATCTGTAACGCAAGACAACGGCAGAGCTGAAACTGATGCACAAAGGGAATGTTTCATCCCAGTTATGCTGTCTTCCTGAGTATTAACAACTCAACACTCGAACCTGGACACAACCAATCACAGTGGGTTTTTCTTCAGAGCCGCTTGAGGAGAATTTAAGAGAAGAAAAAAGTAAATTGATGTAAAACCTGAGTCGCATTTAGACGAGTGTTTGAGGAGAGACTGGTGGACCTGGCCCGAGAGTTTATCCAGCCTGTAAATCCCACAGCTGAAGACGGGATTTGCAGGAGTAAAGCAGAGATGGGAGCAGCTTTCTGCAGGAGGACCAACGCTCTCCTCTTTGTGTGCTCGCCAGCGTTAGCGCACCTTCGCAGAGGAAATGGCTTCTGTGATGCCCGGGGGAGGCGCGCAGTGCTGCGACTGCATTTAGCCAGAAATCAGTGCAACTCTGTTGACAGTGAGCAGACACACTCATGCAGAACAAAGCTGTCAATGGCAAATGTCAGCTCATCACAGCTTGCACATTAACAACAAGTCAGTGCATCCAGAACAGCTTCTTGCAGCCCAGCTGGGGGAGAGGGGGGGCCGGAGCTTTGTTTCTGTCCAAATGCTGCTCCTGACGAGCACTAATAAACAGGCCAGTGGGAAGAAGCCATTTGATAACACACAAATGTGCTGATGTGAGATGTTGTCATGCTTGTTTCTCCCAGAACAAAGTTTCTGTGATATCTTCAGTCTGTCCTCGATTAGGCACGCACGTCAGCGCTGCACACTTTTAATCACTCACGCTTCTGCAAACGATGAAAATGGTCCAAGCTGGCCTCTTTAAACTGCTTGTTTAAGCCCTTCACAAACACATTTTATTACATTTCCTCAAAAATCATCTGGAAAGAAGAACGTGGAGCTGCTTCACTGCCTCGTGGGTTAAACAGCGCATCAACCATCTGCCAGGAAGTGACTGTGTCACTGTCGGAGGGTAATCACATTACCCATCTCTATTCTCTATGAAAATGTAAACAAACCAGAATCGTTGCATTTCAATTATGTTCAACTGTCAACATGTGAAAGTTGCTAAATTGTTGCAACTGAAAGTTTAGTAGCCGAGGACGTGAGAGAAGAGCTGACGTGCTTTCATAGAGCAGCGTCTCCTTAACAGACAGCAGGGTGTGGATCATTCACCAGACAACAGGCAGGTTGTGCCTCTTGTTCAGCCGTAATTGGCACTGATTTCATTTCCGTTCTCATAGGTTACAGTGACGATCAGTGCAGCTGACTAACGTCAGTGCTCTGGACTGTCTGGGATTATAAATAAGACTCATCAGCAGGTCTGTGAAAACTCCTCAAAGCACCGCTCGGCTCTGCCAGTGAACAAACGCAGACACTGATGGGAAACTCGCTGGTAGCCCTGAAGGAGAAGTCAGGGGAACTTCATGAGTTCATGCTTCAGTAAAATACTGATCTGCTTCCCTGCTGTGTGGTAAATGCATTAAAAAAATCAACATTTCACTGAGTTTTTTAGTTTCTATCAAAGTTTAGGACTTCCACCCAACAGTCCTGTGTGAAGTTAGAACATCAGACAAACCTCGGTGTCGTCTGTGACGTGGACAAAATATTCAGCTTATATTTCACAGACTATTTTTCACATTCACTGTTAATTAATCCACTTCTCAGCTGACAGAAACACGTTTTATTTTTACTGGTGTTACAGGTAGAACGTGTTTGACGCGCTGACAACGAGCGAAAAATAGCAACTGATGAGCTACGAGCAGGCGGCTGTGACGGCGGCGGCGAAACGGCGACGACCGTGTGAACGAGCGTCTGCTCGCGTGTAATCCTGTCAGTAACTGTTCTCTGCACGCACTGACAACATTTACAACACTCAGTGTTGATACATTCGAATACAGCTTGAGTGTAATCACATACATTTCTGTTTCTGAAGCCTGTTTGATTTGTTCTAACTACGAACCGTCAACAGCACCTCCATCTCTGCTGGCAGATTATATAACACAATAAATGAACACAAACTCTCAGTGCAGCTTTATCCATGTCCTCAGGGTTTAACGACAACGGTTGTTTCAAGGACTTCAGAAAGTAACCAAAGTCCTAAAGTACGATTCGCCATGCTCTCTCTCACGGTGGGGAGAAAAACACGAGACTTAAATGAGTCGTTTTGACCAGTTTTGGTTTGAGGTTAAAGAGAAGACAGGAAAGAGGATAGCAGAGGACAGTAGAGGACAGTGGAGGACAGTAGAGGACAGTAGGACAGTAGAGGACAGTAGAGGACAGTAGGACAGTAGAGGACAGTAGGACAGTAGAGGACAGTGGAGGACAGTAGAGGACAATAGGACAGTAGAGGACAGTAGAGGACAGTGGAGGACAGTAGAGGACAGTAGGACAGTAGAGAGACCACGGACAAAACCAAGAAAGTCCGGCAGAAACTTCTCCATCAGAGGAAGACTGTGCAGCAGCCTCACCACACGATCCAGCCTTTACAGAGCGGAGCTCAACACTTCATCTTACAGTCAGCTTAAACTGTCAGGCCCACAAACAGTTCAGATGCTGGGAAACTGAAAGGCTTGAATCAAGTCTTCTCTGTGTGTGCGATCGTTATGGGACTGCAAACACATGTCAGAGTTATCACAGCATGTTCCTGAGTAATATTAAAGGCTTCTCAGCCTGCAGCTTCTCTGACACTCAAACAAGCTAAAAACAGCAGAGCGATCTTCTGTATGAGCTCCTCACCATATGCAACAACACGGCTGCTTTAAAGCACATTCTTCTCAAACTTTCTGAAACTGCAGTAAATATCAAACTGTGTCATGTCCATCAGAAAGACGGACTGAATTTAAAAGGGACAGTTTGGGCCGATGCACTCACAGGAGTCCTGTGGCTGCTGTTATGTCAACATATCAGGATGTTTGATCCTTCAAGAACAGAAACGTGACAAAGTGCTGCTTAAATCAGCCATAATACGGATTCAGACAGAGA